TATATACTACTATATATATATATATATATATATATATATAGTATATATATATATATATATATATATATATATATATATGTATATGTATATATATATATATATGTATATGTATATGTGTATATATATATATATATATATATATCGCTATATAATCAGTTCCATGGTTCGGAAAATTTTAGGGTTTAAGAAAAAGCTTTTGTTTTTATAGTACCAAGAGTTGTAGTATACTTCTAGTCGGGAATGAACACCGTTGAGTGTTAGTGAATCAGGTGTGTGTAATTCAAATTATGACGCGCAGTATCGTGTGTATATATTAGCGCACTCTCGTAACCTATCCCAAGATGCAGTGGGTGCCATCCTGTAGAGCGGAGCTGACGACAAGTTTTGTTTTGCTCAGTCGCAGACTTACCGTAGGGCTGGCGAGTGTGCCCTTTCAATTGCGTTGCAAGGGCTGTTGCCTTCAACATCAGTTATTGTATTAACTTATGAGACTCGAAATGCCCTCCATCAGGCACAAGTCCTTCTATAATACGTTTTACTGCCTTTAGCAGACACGAGCCCTACTATAGTACGTTTTACTGCCTTCAGCAGGTATAAGTCCTGCTATAATGCGTTATACTGCCTTCAGCAGGTATATGTCCTGCTATAATACGTTATACTGCCTTCAGCAGGTATAAGTCCTGCTATAATACGTTATACTGCCTTCAGCAGAGACGAGCCCTACTATAGTACGTTTTACTGCGGCGGTTCCTCGTCTCAGCCTGTTCCCCCAGTATCGTGTCTCATAGGTTATTGGTTCCGTTGGCCTTAGCTATACATAACGTCCGGCACACTAAGTAATGATACTGATCAGATATGCAATATCTTTGCAGACGGCATCTGTCTATAGTATCCTTATGCTGCTTGATATCTAAGTATGAGTACTCTGATCTCAACAACCCGTGTCTTGTGTGGGCTGGCTCGCTCGCATACTACTGACAGTAATACTCCCGACCCGTCCTCGTCATCCAATCAGATCTCCTGGATTGTCGCGGGGATAGCCTACCCCATTCTGTTTGCCTATTTCCTGAGCATCTTCTTCGTCGGAAGTGCCAATGATCTACTCCTGGGTACCGTGAACGCGTCTCCCGAACAAATGTTCCAGATGTTTGAGCTTGCCCTGGCTGCGCTGTTGCCTGCAATGGTATGTCTTAGCATCCGTCTCCATGTGCGCGAATGCCTATATTTATCCTGTGTGGCCATATACCATTCTGTCAGTGCTTGTACTGTTATTGCTGCGCTGTTGCCTGCACTGGTATGTCTTAACATCCGTCTCCATGTGCCGCGAATGCCTATATTTATCCTGTGTGACCATATACTATTCTGTCAGTGCTTGTACTATTATGACCATATACCTTTCTGTCAGTGCTTGTACTATTATCTGTTCTCTGTGACGCGTCTCGTCCAACGCATATATAAGTTAGTAGCTGCAGGAAAGTGTATCACACAGGCTGATGAGCTTTACTGGGCGTACCAGGCACCGGACACCGGAGATCATCTCCGATTTAACATTGCATATGCACTCTCGTGCCACCCAGCGTATCGGTGCAGTTCACATATATACTACAACCACCTGAAGCCTTCTAATTGTCTACTAGTCCGCATGCAGGTGTTGTCCACCTTAAGTTACACACGAATCGTGTGTGTAGGAGCGGTTGAGGAGCCTTTGTACTCGCCCCGCATATAGCGTTTTTTGTGTGTTTGTGGGGTAGCGGGTTTCCTGAACCCGCACATATGTGGACTATCGGTAGACGGTAAATACGTGCCGCTTTAGGAGCCAACATGGACGGCCCACCGCTCGCTATGAGATCAGGCATTGTCCTCATATTATCAATAGAGTTCAAGGCGTATGTGTCGCGACAAGGACCTTGTTCGTACGTATGCAACTACGCGTCCCTGCCCTGCATCCACCACGCCTACTAAGACCCCACCCCACAACACCCCACCCCACAACCATTCCCCACTCGCCCAGGTGATGATTCTGGGTCTGGATATGTTCTTCGTCCTCTTCCGGGACGAGTCGGAGGTGCGCAGTCGCCACCTCGGATTCATTGTCCACTTCTGCACCGCCGGGACAGCCTCCATAGCCGTGTCTGTGCTGCTGGTCGCTATCATCTGCGATGTCATTCCCATCAGTCGCGAAGGGGGCCAGTACAGCCCACACACCACCGTAAGCTTCTACCTGTACCTGGTGCTGTGCATGTGCTCTAACCTGGTTCTGAGCAGTGTGGTGAGTCGTATGCGGTTCATGCACAAGGTTTTCAAACGCAAGCACGCCAAGCCGTCGTACTGGAAAGGCCCGCTAACCCACGCCGCACTCGCGGTGTGTGTGATTCCAGTGCCGCTCACCTGCCACTACGCGTCGGTTGAGTGTTCCTTGACTACCAAGATCAGTGGGCAGATGGTGTACTCGCTGGTGCTAGGCGTTATCTATGTGTACTACCTGGTGCACACGTATCTCGGCGCATCGAATATGGAGTTCTTCGTCGACTTCCAGAGCAATGTACGGCAATTTGTTGTGTGGTGCGTGGCCTTCTGGGGGCCAACGCTGTATGTGAGCATCACGCAAGATAGGAATTTTGGTGTGTACATGATTTTCTTCCTGCCGCCCTATTGTCTGTGGGTGTTTGCCATAGACAACTTCTTGTTTGTGGTGATACGAGTCCTGAGCCGCAAGTTGCTGAAGCGCGACCATCTGGTCAACTTTGACCTCCAGGGCAAATACTTCAACGATCTCGAAGGCGTGCAAGGAGTCGCGTGCCTCATATCGCACAAGGAAACGGTATGTTAATGTACCATAACGGCGTTCACGAACTCGTGGGTGGGGGGTAGAGATGCATTATATACGTACCACAATACGGTACCGGTCTTGCTTATCACGCTGCTATATGGTAGTATGATAGTACGAATCCGTGTTAGTGTTTCCGAGAAGAGCTTTTACCTGGGAGGTGATCCTTATACAATGTGGGGTTTTGTTCACCCCCCCCCCTCTCATATAACCTCAAATATGCCGTTCGTCGACCTGCGAGTGGGGTTACTTTTGGTAACGAACATGTATTGTAGCCGCGCACTTACAGATCCGTCTCATCTCCATCAATCGCAGCGTGAGATGCTCCTGGATTACTCGAAGATGCGATACTGCGCCGAAACCGTCGAGTTTATGATCGAAGTGCGCGAGTGTGTGGCCTTAGAGAAGACTCACCCCGACGTTGCACGTCAGAAGGCCATCCGATGCGTTAACAAGTTCGTGGATGTCAGCTCTCACGAACGCGTTAATCTTTCAGATCCGTGCCGGAAGCGGATGGAGGTGCTTGTGGCCACAAACGTGTTCAAGGATATGGACGATCTGTTCTCACAGGCCTTTCAGGATGTCGGCTTACTAGTCAGCACTAATCTGGTGCCTCAGTTCCTGGTGTCGCCCCAGTTCCTGCAGCACACCTCTGGACTGCAGAACGATGAGAACTTGATGCGCGCGTTGCGGAATAACGGTTTGTTGGTGCCTGAGAGCCGCGAGTGGGATAGAAGGAGCTCGTATATGCCATCGAATATACCAATGAGCACAGTACAAAGTATTGCTATACAGCGCATTGCCGAGAATTCTCCGGCCGGTTCGATGCGGTCGTCCTTGGGTGTAGACACCTAGCACAGGCACGTGTGTGGAATAACGTACACATGTGTGAAGTATCGTACACGTGGGTGGAGTAACGTATACGTGTGTGAAGTAACGTACACGTGCGTGGAGAAACTTACACGGGTGTGTGAGGATGCTAGGTGGTGTGCTACTGGCCCAGGACGCTGTGCTCAGAATCAAATGATTTTGCTTTGCTTTTGTCGCATTGGACAATGGTGGCGGTTCGAGAGCACCTGCCAGTTGAAGATTACCATGGGGTATGCTCTAAGATTACCAAGGGGTTAAAATTACCATGGGGTATGCTCTAAGATTACCATGGAGTAGACTCTAAGGTTGCCATGGAGTAGGCTCTAACATTACCATGGGGTATGCTTCAAGAATACCATGGGGTATGCTCTAAGATTAACATGGGGTATGCTCTAAGATTACCATGGGGTAGGCTCTAAGATTATCATGGGGTATGCTCTAAGATTGCTATGGAGTATGCTCTATCCAGAGCGATGTAATCGTGCGGACGTGTTGGCTTATAGCAGAGACCTCTATCTCAGTGGATGGTATCATGCGACTCGAACGGCAGACATCTGGGCGTATGAGGGCACCAATATGATATCTGAGTACTAGTGAGCACTCATGGACGTCCCTTCGGCGTACTACAGCAATCGAATGGTACGCGTATAAGTACAATATATAGACACATGCGTATTGACAGTATCACTACGGGTAGGCATGTACGCAGAGCCGTGGATCTCAGACCAGACCCACCAGGCGTAGCGCCACCTTTGCGATGACATACGACCGACAGGGAATTGTCACACGTACAGATTCCCTGATTCGAAGCGAATTAGTACTTAAGTGGGACACGGGAGATGCCAGAACAACCTAACGAATGCAGAGGCCAGTACAAACTACTGAAGGCTACGCTGTGTAGTCGCGTAGCTACCAGGTATACGATCGCCAGGTCCCCAGTGCACTCTGGCTGGTCGCTGTTCTGTGGGTCGGGATGTGCGATATTGAGCTTACATTGCTGCTTGTATCAGAGCGCGCGTATGGTCTGCTGTTTAGTCTGTTGTCGCGGGTTTGTCTCAGCCGGATGTCAGCTGTGAGTCTACAAGTGCAGTGCTCGTCTTAGGCATACTGAGAATAGAAAGTCCATGTGGTGTATTCCTGAATCCTTTTCAGACAACGCTCGTTGACCTTGATGGCAGCTCCTCTCCTTAGGGGACGATACCTAAATAATATAGTAAACAATACATAATTTAGTATGGAAGCTCTGATGGCAAATAAACACTTTCTCAAATCCTTCTATAGAAGTGATCTATCTGCAGATCAACTCGCATCTAAATCTGGCGAAGGAAGATTGGACCTATACGCTTATACTCGAATAGCAGACGATTTGTGTACGTAGCTACCTATTTCTATAATTCACACTCCATGTATGTGTTGATAATGGAATGACCTACGACCATTCGCAAAAGAGGGTTTTCTAATATTTCCCTTCATACCCTCGTGTATGAGTGCCCGTTACTCAGAAAGGACATGTTTGATTTGGAAGAAGGCTATGCTAGTATATACAATAATAAAATAATATAAATATTCATAGCTGTCTTCTTTATATGGAAAGTATGACGGGTGATCAATATGGCGGGAATCGCTCCTTAGTGTCAATTAAATATGCCAGTATATAGACATTAAAGACAAAGTGAATTGTATGATAACTATGTATATTAAAAAGATCAAACCATCAACTAACGCAAATTTCGAAGATGTGACGTCACAGAGGAGTCTTAAAAAAGTACACAAAACGAGAAAAAAATTCCCAGCGAGGGGCTCGAACCCTCGACCTTGAGATTAAGAGTCTCACGCTCTACCGACTGAGCTAGCCGGGAATGATTATGTTTTATTATTTTGGACTATATCCCAATTTACTATGTATATACAATCAGAGTATTCTGTGCTTTACGCCGGTTTGTCTTTTGCGCAAAATATGCTAAACAGCGTTCACTATAGTTAATCATGAGCTACGGAGATGAAATCGATGGACAATCAATACATGTACTTACTATTTTGACACGTATGTACCAAGTAAAGACATCTAATTGACCGGGATTTGTTGCAAAGGTCCCCCGAACTGCCCATGAGAGGCACCCCGAATTCGAAACTATACAGCCAAAAAAATAATCTCGAAAGTTTGTAGTACATCCTAAACACCTTCAGTGAATACTGATTTGTCAATGTACATGCGTAGCAAGATACTTTTTTTTTTTGATATGATAAACGAGACTGACCTTATCAGGACGACCTTCCAGTTCTAGCCGCAGATGTGGCTGCTTTATCACACTGTGTTACTTGGATCATTGCATTCCCACATCGATGTAGATACTACTTTCAACACAACACAATTCGCTGTTGCAAGGTACAATAGACTCCTATTGCAAAGACTCCTACCAACCTTAGCCCTCAACAAGTACACTACAAATGCGGCGGTTATACACCAGAATAGAGAATACATTTTATGCACCTAGTATAGCGCTTCGAGTGTACCTTTTTGAGATGTCTTGACAATACTCGCACCATCCAACCCCTTACCAGATGTATCTACTGCGGGTAAGGCGGTGCAGTACCCGTTGTGGCAGGATATGGTGCAGGGGCAGTAGGCTGTGGTGCCTGAGAATCCATGTGCATGGGACTTCCAGGTGCGTAACTTTGTCCCGCATTAAAACTCCCGGTTGAACCGGTACCAACCATGGGCGCAGGGCACGGCAGACCCATACTTGGACTCGCACTGCCACTGCCCGCGTGTTGTTGAGGTGCAGGATAAGGTAGCGCATCCGATGAACTAGGCGGATATGGGCTCTGTGTCTGTGGCGAGTGTGGAGCGGGGTATGTCGTCTGTGCTTGTGGGGTGTGTGGTTGCGGGTACGGTAGTTGTGACTGCGAATGTACTTGCGGGTACGGTGGCTGGGGTTGTGCTTGCTGTTCCTGTCCGTAAGGTGCAGGATATGGTGCAGGACCGGGTGCCGGCCCACCTCCCTGTGCGGTTCCAACTAGAGGGTCCGAAGGATACGGTGTCTGAGCTGGCTGTTGGGGTGGTTGCTGCACCTGGCCTGGAGGATAAGGTGGCTGAGCTGGCTGTTGGGGTGGTTGCTGCACCTGGCATAGAGGATAAGGTGTCTGAGCTGGCTGTAGGGGTGGTTGCTGCACCTGGCCCGGAGTCTGCGTACTGTGTGGCGCATAGCCCGCACCCACCGGAGTGCCATGTTGTAATGGTGTCCCACTGGCACCCGCACTCGCAGTTGCTGCGGGCGTGTACGCAAGCGGCGCATTAGGCTTGATGCCCTTGCGCCTCATGTACAGCACCACCTGCTCGGGCAACTCCTTCAGCGTGGCCTCCGCGATATCATCGATATTTCGGAAGTCTCGCAAAGGCACAAACTGTACTGTGTCACGCGACATGCGTTTACCCCTGCGGTCTACCAGCGGTGTGACATCTGCATCCAGCTGGTCCATGGCGCTGAAATCCGCGTTCCCCACCCCCACGATGACTATCGACATGGGCTGTGCACTCGACTCGACGATACGGTCAATCGTATCCTGTAGGTCACAGATAACCCCATCCGTGAGTATCAGCAGACACGTGTACTTCTGTGCGTGTTGAGTGCCCCCTTTGCTATACTGCGCGGCCTGCCCTATAAGCGGTGCAAAGTACGTTGGCCCACTCAGGGTCACAGACAACAGTGTGTTCTTGTAGCACTGCAGTACACCGTTGATCCCATGTACCTCCGGGTCGTTGGGGTTTCCATTTAAGGGAAAACAGTGACTCTTCTCCCGAT